TCAGACCTTTTTAACTGGAAAAATAATACTCCATCCTATCAAGAGAACCCCAAGGGGATCCATGACCTGTTTGACTTGATTTTTCATACACACAATTGTCACTTGGTAGACTGTTGGGCTTTATTAAATATTCTCTTGACCCCTGAAGAAAAAAGGATGGTATTGAGCAAAGCTAAGGAAGAGGCTGGTGGATTAATTCACACCAGAAAGAATACTACCTGGAGGCTAGCTGACCAAGTTACCTCAGAGGAGATACCTCAGTGGGATCCCAACGATCCCCAGGATTTAGCTCAGTTGGCTCATTATCAAGATTGCTTACTCACGAGCCTCTAAAATGGGGTTCCTAAACAGAGGAACTTCAATAAAGTTTAGGAGTTTAAGAAGGGACTCCTCCAACTTTTGAGAGAGGTTATTTTCAACATTTAGGCTGTACCCTGATGTTGACCCCAAGGTACTTGAGAATACAAATATGATTTTTATAGGGTAGAGCACCCCAGATATTAGGGAGAAACTCCAGGAAGTTGAAAGAAATATGGGGATGGGAATTTCATAGCTAGTAGAGATTGCTTTAAGGTATATACAGGCAGAGAAGCTGAGCAAGAAAAAGATCTGTGGAAGGCTAGAGTGCAGGTGGCACTGTGGCAGCAGCTTTAGAGCCAAGAGGGCTGGGCCAGCTAAGCAGAGAGGAAAGAGAGAGAGTAGATATGTAGACTAGAACCTCCTATAGGAATGACTCGGCGTGCTTGGTGCAAGGAAAAGGGACCCTGGAAGCAGGAATGCCCAAAAAGCCAGGTATGATCTTAAGGCCCATCTTCTCAAGTCACAGGTCTCCAAGAAGAAAGACTCTGATTCCAACTGAAGGGAACTGGGGGTTGGTGTTGACATCACCATATCCTCAGAAGAGTCCCTGGTTAAACTTGAAGTGTGGGGGGGGGGGTTCAGGGAAATTTACAGACTTTTTGATTGATACAGGAGCTGCTTACTCAGTTTTAACCAATTCAAAGGGAACTTTGTCTAAAGCATGGGGCTCTGGTGGCACTGTGGCGTTGGGCTGCTAACCAAAAAGTCTGCAGTTTGAACACAGCAGCTACTCCAAAGGTGAGATGAGGTAGTCTGCTTCTAAAAAAACGGCATCAACTGTTGGGGCTGAGGTGGAACAAAGGGTCCTGTGGTGCAGAGAGATAAAGTCATTCCCTGTGGTTGGCATCGAAATTTGAATAATAGTAGTATTTATTAACTAGTCTTTCTTGTAGATGTATGGATATTATCCTATCACTGACAGAATTGTAGTTCAAGGCAGATCTTGAAATGTTCTTTTTGACAATGAATGAGATGACACTCCTCTTCAATTTGTCATTACCAGCGTAGCAGATCATATGACTGTCTGATTCAAAATGGCCAATACCAGTCCCTTTCAGCTCAATTAAGGGAATTCTGGTGGTGTAGTGCCTAAGGCATCTGACTGCTAACCAGAAGGCAGGTAGTTCAAACCCACCAGCCACTCCTCAAAAGGAAGATTCTGTAGTGATACTACCTCAGAAACCCAAGGAAGGGTTGTTATGAGTCGTATCCGACATGAGTGAGTTTGGTTTTTTGGTTTTCAGCTCACTAACGTCTAGGATATCGATCTTTATGCATTCTGGCTCATTTATGACAACTTCCAATTTTCTTAGATTCACACTTCGTACATTTCACATTCCGATTATTAATGAATGCTTGCCACTGTCTCTTTCCATTTTGAGTCATGCCCCATCTCATATGAAGGTCCCAAAAGCTTTACTCCATCCATATCATTAAGATTGACTCTACTTTGAGGAGGCAGCTCTTCCCCAGTCGTATTTTGAGTGTCTTCTGAGCTGAGGGGCTCATCTTTTGGCACTATATCAGACAGTGTTTCATGCTATTCGTAAAGTTTTCCAGTCATATATCAAACAGTGTTTCACTGCTATTCATAAGGTTTTTAATGCCAATTTCTTCAGAAATGGTTGACCTCGTCCCTTCTTCCTAGTCAGTTTGGAAGCTCTGCTAAAATCTGTCCACCATGGGTGACTCTGCTGGTATTTGAAATATTTGTAGCATAGCTTCTAGCATCACAGAAACACAAGCCACCATAGTATGACAAACTAACAGAGAAGTGATAAAGGGATTATATTAAACCTACAACTAACTTCATTCACACTTGAAGGTGAAATAATGTTTTGCTCCTAAGATTAGGAGTAAGGTAAGAATGTCTGTTCTCACCATTTCTATTCAACATTGTATTTGATGCTCTAGCCAGTGCAACAAATAAGGCAAGAAAAACAAATCGAAAGCATACAGATTAGAAAGGAGGAAATAAAATACAAGATGACCCTGGAAAATCTTATGATGCCATAAAGTAAGAAATTGTTCATTAAAAGATAGGGCATTTTGACAAGCACAACAGGCAACCTGAGGAAGCTCTCAAATCTGGAACAGTTTGAGTAACAAAGTAAATAATGATAGTATTGAATTATAACTTATAGAATAAAATAAACATCCAATAGTCCAAACTAACATAAAGAAAATATTTAAATAAATAAATAAATGGAGGCAAAGGCACCATTTTTTTTTTAAACAGAAGAATTTCAACTAATAAATGTAGAAGGAATGAAACAAAAAACCACAATTATGCAAAAAAATATGTAATAATTAATGTAAGATATATCTAAAATCAGTGGGCAAAAGTATCATGAGAAATAGGATATTTATATAGTCTCAAATTATTCCAAGATATTTATTAATTATGAGGGAAAAAACACTAACTTTACAGCAAGCAAACATGGTAGAAACCAACTTAACTGAATGATCATGGTTATTATCATCAGTAATAAGACATAACAAATCATTAACCTCCTGATACTATGCACTGAGAAAGGTACAACATCCCTTTTTTGGTATTCTTGCCAAAAGTGAAATACCTTATTCTAATTGTGAGAAAATTTCAGATAAACCCAAAGACATTCTACAAAATAAGTAACTGATTAGTAAAGTGCTTAGAAAAGGCCTACCACATAGTATACTCTCAATGAATGTTCTAAAAAATACTTTTTTCTTTTGATGAGTGCCAAAAGAGGTTTTTGATCCAAGTGTCTGATCCAAGATGTTATGCTAGGAAAATGGCAGATCCTGATTCAACAAGTCTGGAAGGAGTACAAGATTCTGCATTTCAAACAAGCTCACAGGTGACACTTATGTGGCTGCTTTGTGAACTGTACTTCGATTAGTAATGTCCTAAACCATACATTTTCACATAGAATTCTTTCCTCTTTTTGCATCTTTTTATGTGCTCGTGGAAATTTATATATATATTTTTTTTGGTGAAACATCTATTCAATTTCTTTGGTAATTTTAAAATTGAGTTGTTTGTATTTTATTATTTTATTTCTAGTGCACTTTGGGTGAAAGTTTACAGAGCAAATTGGTTTTCCTTTTGTTTTGTGACATTTACTGCAATCCCCACACTGTAACAGCATTCTTCGCACTTCTTTCCTGCGCCCATTCCTTCCTATCATCCTTCCTTACCATACCCTCCTGCCTTCCTAGCTCTATCCCTGGGCAAATGCTGTCCTCTTGATCTCATATGTTTGATTATTCTAATGAGTATATACCCTCCTGACATTTCTGTTCAACTTATAGGCCTATCATTTGGCTAAGAATTAAGTCACAGAATTAAGTTCAGCTCCTAGCTCGGAAGGTATCTAAGGGCCATAGCCTGGTCTTTCTTATGATTTTGAGTTTAGTTCCCTATTTTCCCGAACTCAATTGGGACCTCTTATTGTGATCTCTTTCAGAGTGGTCAGCTGGGCACCCAATGTTAGTTCTTCTGATCTCAGCATAGTGGAACCTGGGGTTCACATGTTCCATTAATCCTTTAGACTAATTTAGACTAATTATTTCCCATATCTTTGATTTTCTCCACTTCACTTTTTCTGGACAGGGAGACACCAGTAGTTATACCTTACATGGTTACTCACAGGTTTTTAAGACCCCAGTTGCTACTCGCCAAAGCGGGATGTAGAACATTACTTTTGTGGACTATGTTATGCCAATTGACCTTAGTCTTCTCCGAGACTATGGTCCTGAGGCTCCATAACCAGTGACACATTCCCTTAAGGCGTCTGGTTATGACTAAGATGTTTTCATAACTTTGTCTCCTGCATGCTCTACCATGGTTATGGGTATATTTGCAGCACATATAAATACACCGGTAGAAACAGCCTCCGTAAAACTTATGTATATTCATGGGTATAGTCCCATTCACCTTCCCAACCCTGTTCAGATTAAGTGTGTATCTCACATAGACTTTTATTTTTCCTATAATTATTTAAATTTATAAATTATTTCAAAGATATACAATTACAGAAAATACAGCAGATATCTGTATTTGTATGAAGTTCAAAATATATTTAAAAATACACCAGAGAGGTCATAGTAACACTTTGGAAAGATTTTAAAAATTGTATAATTAATTTAATATTGTTAAATAGTTTAAACCAGTTTTAAAATTGTACATAAAATTGTATTTATAAACACAATGAAAACATTTTTAAGAGTAGTTTTTTCCTGGTTGGTGAAATTATGGGTATTTTGTTAAACTCCTCTTATTAATGTTTGTGTTTTCTGAAGTTTTATTTTTTTAAAATCATAATTATATATTACTTTATAAACAGGAAAAAAAGTAACACTTATTAAAAAAAATCAGAATTGCCTAACATAAGTCTAATATTGACAATTTAATAACATTAAAGCTTTATTAATCAATACAAATACATTTAGTACACATAAAAGCAAGTTGTTGTGAATATATAATTGCCTCATTAAATCTCATTACGCCACACTTTGTATGTTCTTACCAAACTTTTGAAACTCCATTCATTTTTGACAAACACGTCTAAGGATAGTTCATGATAACATCCAAATGAGACTACTATCACTAGGGAGTGATTTTCCTAATGATGTAGACTTTTAAATGATCTTACCTTTCAGCTGAATTGAAAGCATCTCTAGAAACAGATGATGATCTTGTATTTCCAACACTGCCTGCATGAGAACGTCTTCCTTTTGCTGAAGGGGTATCTAGTGGTATATCTCCCAAGCCCTATAACCAATATAAAGAATGGCAGTCTAATAAAAGTATTAAAACTAATAATGTGAAATAATTTAAATAATATAATTTTTTATAATACCCAGCATCAATTTTTCATACTGAAAGCATTATAGCATGTTGCTACGTTTATGCTTTAAATGTTATCAGTTGTATAGAATACCTTGTAATCAGTAGTGAAAAAACAAAATAACTGATCTACTAATAGGAAATTTTATTAACTTAGTAAAACAAATTGATGGAAATAAAAAAAAAATTAACTAATAGTTTATTGTGTTTTTGGTGAAGGCTTACACAGTTTAGGTTTTCATCCTACAATTTCTATACAGATTGTTCAGTGACACTGGTTATATTCTTCACAATGCATGAACATTCTCATTATTTCTATTCTGGTTGTTCTGTTTCCATTAATTTAATTTCCCTATCCCTTTATATTTTCATCTTCATTTTAAAGTAATTGTTGATCATTTGCTCTCATATAGGTGAGTTTTCAAAGGAGCATAGTACTTATGGGTGATAGTCATTATTTTGTGAGCTAATCTGTTATTTATCTTTAAAGTGACCTCAGGGGATATTTACGTTCAAGGTTTGAAGGGTAGCTCAGGGAGACAGTCTTGGGGAATACTCTGGTGTCAATCAGTCCAGTTTGTCTTATTTTTTAGGAATTTGAGATTCTGTTCCATTTTTCTCCCATTCTATAAGGGTCCATTTATTGTGGCCCTGATTAGGATGGTCAGTAGCAGCAGCTGAGCACCATCTAGTTCTGGTGCAGGGTAGATGAAGCTGTGGTGGTTTGTGAAGACTATTAGTCCTGCAGACTAGTTTCTTCTTTGAGTCTTTGGTTTCCTTCTTTCTCTTTTGCTCAAAATGAGTAGAGATCAATAGTTCTCTCTCAGATGTTTTCTTGCAAGCTTTTAAGACCCTAGACACTACTCACCAGAGTAGGATGTAGACCATAACTTTATAAACCATATTATGTCAATTGACCAAGATGTTCCAAGAGATATCCTTCAAACCCAGAAAACCAATCTCATGAGGTGTCTAGTTACGTATAAGAAGTATCTGTAACTGTCCTCCCATTTGCTCTACTCTCTATATGAATTTATATACATACAATCCATATATAAATATAATACTTAAGAATATTTACCTGTATATACAGATATACATATATACACATGCACACAGTCACATACAGGTGTGTACATGTAGGCCTATGCATATGTATTATATTTCCATACATACATGTATGTATGTATGCAAATATAGTATGTATATGTATGCCTATATACACACACCTATATATTCCCATATCCATGTCTACACATATATATGCCTGCATACATACATCCTACATATACATGTTTTTGGTTGTTTTTACTGTTAGAAATTTAAAAAAATTAATATGCTGTATTTTATAGCTACTATTCTTAAACCTAGGGAGCTCTGGTGGCGTAGTGCCCAAGGCATTTGACCACTCACCAGAAGGCTGGCGGTTCAAACGCACCAGCCACTCCTTGGAAGGAAGGTTGGGCAATCTACTTCTGTAGTGATACAGCCTTGGAAACCCAAGGAGGGGTTGCTGTGAGTCCGGTCTGACTCGATGGCAGTGAGTTTGGTTTTTGTTTTGGTTTATTCTTAAAGTTTAAGGAGCTCTGGTGTTGCAGTGGTTAAGGCAGTTGGCTGCTAACCAAAAGATCAGTAGTTTGAACCACCAGCTGCTCCACAGAAGAAAGATGAGGTAGTCTGCTTCCATAAAGATTTACAGCCTTGGAAATCTGATAGGGGTCACTACAAGTCAGAACTGACTCAATGGCAGTGAGTTTTTTTTTTTTTTTTTTTTTGGTTATTCTTAAAGCTTAAAATCTAGATAGAAAATTGGAGCACATTTCATAAACAACTGAATTTCTATGCAACATAAACAGTGTGAGAGTGAATATTTTGAACAGTATTTTAAACCTGTTTTTTTTCTGATAGATGTACTTGTAATAACTCACAAACATAATCTGTCTCATTTTAGTGAAATAAGTTTTTAAATGGTTATGTTTAATAAGTTCTATAGGAGCTCTGGTAGCATAGTGCCTAAGGCACTTGACTGCTAACCAGAAGGCTGGCGGTTCAAACCCACCAGCCATTCCTCGGAAGGAAGATGGGGCAATCTACTTTCGTAGTGATACTGCCTGGGAAACCCAAGTTGGGTCCGACTTGACGGCACATAACAACAACAACATAGGAATTAAGCTCAAGTTCTCAAGATTAATAAGCACAAAAATGTTCTCATATGGCCATTACTGTACATCTTTGCAATATAATCCTTTCATAAATGAATCCTTAGCCTAATGGAATCACAGAGAAATGACATAAATTATAATAGGAAAATTCTACATTATTAAGATATTCCTATTTTTTAATAAAATAATATATAAATGGATTATTGTTTTCCATTTCACTTGGTATTCCCTCAGTCACTTATTCAATAGACATTACTGAATCCCCATTAGTCACCAGGATGTTGTTGTTGTTATGTGCTGTCAAGTCAGACCCGACTCATAGCGACCCCTCCTTAGGTTTCTGAGGCAGTATCACTACAGAAGTAGATTGCCCAACCTTCCTTCCGAGGAGTGGCTAGTGGGTTTGAACTGCCAGTCTTCTGGTTAGCAGTCAAGTGCCTTAGGCACTACGCTACCAGAGCCTCTAGCAACCAGGATAATACTCAGCATTTACCCTAAAGAAGAGCCTATATTGCAGTGTGCCAATAATCAAACTCACTGCTGTCGAGTTGGGTCTGACTCATAGTGACCCCTCCTTGGGTTTCCGAGGTGGTATCACTATGGAAGTAGATTGCTCAACCTTCCTTCCGAGGAGTGGCTGGTGGGTTTGAACTGTTAGCCTCTGGTTAGCAGTCAAATGCCTTAGGCACTACGCCACCATAACTCCTAATAGTAGAACATGCAAGGTAAATAAAGCAGGCACCAAGCATGATAAACATTATTATCTACACATCATAAAAGTAAAAATTCTGGTTAGTGAAGTAAAGCAAGGTGCCTGAAATAACATAGTTGCTAACTCTCAGGGTTGTGACTCAAATGCAAGCTTCTAACTACATTAGGCTGCACTGCATTGTACCAAACATCATGTTTCTGTTCAATAAATATTTACTTCCCAGGCCTGACACTAGGTGTTGACTCAGTACTGGAGTTGTTGACACGCTACTCTAGATAAAATCTTAATGGTTAACTGAGCAATAATGAAACAGTATTTTCTATTCTTTATTTTCCAAGGCAAATAAACTTTATTTTTAAAGTTGTTTCTAAAACAAACTTTTTCCACATACCTTTTGCCGTAAGTTTTTAACAGATTCCTTAATATAGGGTAAATCTTTAGATGGGACATACTTTTCAAGCATTTTATCAAAGTTAGGATGACACATCAGGAGGAAAAGCATCTTACGACCATAATACCTATGGATATTTGAGAAATATTAAATAACTTTGCATATATCAACAATGTCAGTTTCTGGTCTTAACTGGTATTTTTTTTCAATAGAAAGAAAATAATCTATCAATATCAAGATCCCAAAACTTATTTTAAGTAAGCCACAGAAATGTAGTTATGCTAAATGAACCAACCAGAGTATTGGATTCTTCTGCCAGCATGACCGTAGTACTGCCCCCGCTCCCAACTTTTTTTTTAAGTACTCTAGCTTCCAATCTCTTAGCCAAAGGTCAGACAGACAGCTAAAAGTTTGTCTTTGTTCTGGCCTGCTTGGCCAGTGACATTTTGCTGCTCACCTGGCTAGCCAGATGTTCTGGCCTGAGTTAATTCTCCCTAAGTCTTGCACTTGTGACCTTCTCTTTCTTTTTCCCCTAGCCAAAACCTTCCTGGATTCCAATTCTTCAAAAATCTATTCTCTGCAAATACATGCAAGGTTAGCTGATTACCTTGTTATTAAATGTTGTAATATTCTCAAAAGCACATTGACATGTTAATAAATGTTATAATACTTCCCAGACGAGGTTTTTATATTATAAGAATTTTTGAAAAATCTTCTTAGTACAATACCTTAAAAGCCAAGAAATCAGCCTGACAGTGGAATTTCAGATAGCATGAAGGTGCATTTTAAGTGTTGTTTTTGGACTGTTACAGTACCTAATAAGAATACCACATAGACTTCTGCCTTGACTTCAACAAGGCCTGGCCTTAAAATAAATTATAGTAATACTTTTGCCTATAACTTGGGATATAAGGGACTAGAAGAACTAGAGAAGGCAAAGCTTTTGGTGGGAGGTGTAAGAGTCTCAGAATGATCTTTATCAAACCAGACCCTTTCAAAGGTAATAAAATTGCAAAAAGGAGCAAAGTTAGGTGATGTCAGAGAATATTTTCTTCTTTCCAATCAGAATAAGGTCTATGCCCAGATAAGTAGGTTCTAATCAATTATGGTTTCAAGGACAATTCTAAAATTTAGCTTGAGATGTTGAGGACTATAGGTTCACTGTAGGTCCTAAGGATATAGGAAAAGCTAAAACACACAAACAAGTCATCCAAAAAAGGAGTTCTGGTGGCATAGTGTCTAAAGCATTTGACAGCTAATCAAATATAGGAAAAACTAAAACACACAAACAAACAAGCCACAAGGGCAAAAAATGTGTGAAATATTAAAATTTGAAAATTGTACTATTTTATAATTTTAAAACTTCAAATAAAAATCAAGGAGATGCTAAAATGGGTTAGAAGAATAACAATACCATTAAGGAAAGATTAAGTAAAGAGGCATACAAGACGACTGCTGTAATTTTTTTTTTTTGTTATTCTTAAGCAGTCTATCATGATCCAACTCTATTTTTTTTCTTTTTACAATTTATTTTATCGTTTTGTTGAGAATATACACAGAAGAACATATACTGATTAAACAGTTTCTATACGTTCAATTCAGTGACCCTGATTACATTCTCAACCCTCACAAATTTTTCATTGAAATGGTTCCCTAAAGATGATCTGCCCTAATCTCAGGAACCTGTGAATATAATGAGGTATTACTCCCGTGACTGTTATATGGCAAAGTTGATTTTAAAATCAAGAGATTATCTGGGTGGGTCTACTCTAATCACATGGGCCCTTAAAACCAGAGTGCTTTCTGCAGCTGATGGTAGAATATGAAGTCAGAGAGTCCATGTACGAAGGACATTCAACACTCCAAGGCTGCAAGTGTGAAGATGGAGGGGGCTGTCTAATAAGAAATATAGGTGGCCTGAAGTAGCTGAGAAAGCATCCTGGATGACAGGCAGCAGGAGATGGAGATTTTAGTCTTATAACTACAACAAAGTGAATTTAGCCCTCAACCTGAATGAGCTTGAAGTGGATTCTTCCACAGAGCCTCTAAGTAAGAGCCTCACACAGTGAACACCTTGATTTAACCCTTGTGACATTCTAAGCAGATAAACCAGTTGAGCCATGTTGAATTTCCCACAGAAAAATCTGTTGCTTCAAGCTATGATGTTTGTGGTAATTTGTTAACAGCAATAAAAAACTAACACATTTACTTTCTGTGTTAGCTTTTGGTGTAATGATTTCTCAAGATAAACGTTGGCTACCTTAAGTAATAGATTTTGTCTTACAATATTAAAAATTTGATTTTTCTTTATGCTTTAATCTCTATGAAATCAGGATCCCCACTCCTCCTTTTAAATATACCTTCATATATGTTGTTGTTAGCTGTTGTCGAGTCGGTTCTGATTCATTGTGACCCTATGTACAATAGAATGAAGTATTTCCAGGTCCTATACTATCCTCACAATCATTGCTATGCTTCAGCCCATTGTTGCAGACACTGTGTCAATTCATCTCATTGAAGGTGTTCCCTTTTTTCACTGACTCACTATAATTTACCAAGTATGATACTCATCTCCAGGGACCAGTCCCTTTTGAAAACATGACCAAAGTACCAGAGACCAAGTCTGGGCATTCTCGCTTATAGGGAACACTCTGGCTGTACTTCCAAGACAGATTTGTTCGTTCTTTTGGCAGTCCACACTATATTCAACATTCTTTGGCAACACCACAATGCAAATGCAACAACTCTTCTGTAGTCTTCCTTATTAACTGTCCAGTTCTCACATGCATATGAGGTGACTGAAAATACAATGATGTGGGTCAGGTTCACCTTAGTCTTATAAGTGGACTTTTAAAGAGGTCTTTTGCTGCAGGTTTGCCCAGTGTAATATGTCCCTTGGTTGTTCGACTGCTGCTTCCATGGGCATTGATTGTGGATCCAAGTAAGAGGAAATCTTTGACAACTTCAATCTTTTCTCCATTTCTCATGATGTTGCTTATTGGTCCAGTTGTGAGGATTTTTGTTTTCTTTTTCTTGAAGTGCAACCCACACTGAAGGCTGTTGTCTTTCACCTTCATCACTAAGGGCTTCAAGTCCTTTTCACTTTCAGCAAGCAAGATTGTGTCATCTGCATATCACTGATTATTAATGAGTCTTCCTCCAATCCTGATACCACGTTCTTTTTCATATAGTCCAGCTTCTCGGATAATTTGCTCAGCATACAGGTTGAAAAAGTATGGTGAAAAGATATAACCCTGATACACATCTTTCCTGATTTTAAACCATACAGTATCCCCTAGTTCTGTTCAAACAATGGCCTCTTAGTCTACGTACAGATTCTTCATGAGCACAGTATGTGTTCTGCAATTCCCATTCTTCACAAAGTTATCAGTAATTTGTTATGATCCATACAGTTGAATGTCTTTGCATAGTCAAGAAAACACAGGTAAACATCTTTCTGGTATTCTTTGCTTTCAGCCAAGATCGATCTTACATCAGCAGTGATATCCCTCTTTCAATGCCCTCTTCTGAAATGGGCCTGAATTTCTGGTAGTCCCTTTTTGATATACTGCTGCAATGATTTTTGTTTGCTTGTTTTTTTTTTTTTAACTTTTTATTAGATTTGGGTGAAATTTTACAAAGCAGATTTGTTTTCAACAGTTCATATACATTTTATTTTGTAATATGGATCAAAATCCCCACAACAGCTCTCTTCCCATTTTTTCCCTATGATTACCATTTCCCTGTGTCCTTCTTACCTATGGCATTCCTGCCTCCCTAGCTTTCCTCATACGCAAATGCTACCTTTGGGTCTCCCATGGTTGATTTTTCTAAGGAGTGCATCTGCCTGGTGTAATGGTTCAGCTCAAAGTCCTGTCTATTGTTTGGCTGAGTTAAACCACTGGAGTAAGTTTAATTCCAAGCCTGAAGGGTAACTAGGGGCCATAGTCTGGGGTGTTTTACTAGTCTTTATCCACCAAGTAATCTTGTTTTTCTTCTTCTTCTTTTTTTTTTTTTTTTTTTTTAATGTTTTGTTCCACCATTTTCTCCCCCTGAAGAATTATTTTCAGCAAAATTTTACTTGCTTAAGATATTGTTCAATAATTTCCACATTCTGTTAGGATTCCTTGGGATGGGCACAAATATGGATCTCTTCTAGTCGGTTAGCTAGGTACCTGTCTTCCAAATTCCTTGCCATAATCCAGTGAGGGCTTCCAGCATTTTTTTTTTTTTTGTCTTAAATTGTGATTCGGGTGAAAATTTACAGAGCAAATTCACTTTCCATACAGCAGTTCACATACACTTTGTCTCATGACACTGACTACAATTTACCACAATGCAACAGCTCCTTTCCCACTTCCTCCCAATAGTTACCTCTTCCTTGTGTCCATCCCTCCATGCACTCCTGCCCCCTGAGCTGTCTCCCTGTGCATAAACAGCCCTTCTTTCTCCCATGATTGTTCTCTCCAAGGAGTGTATCTACCTCAGATAAATGTTCAACTCATATGCCTGTCTTTTGTTTGGCTGGAAGCCACAGGTATGGGTTCAATTCCAGACCTGAGGGGCAGCTAGGGGCCACAGTCTCAGTGGTTCCACCAGGCTCTACCAGACCAGCAAAACTGGTCCTCCCCACCCCCCGCCTTTTTTTCCCAAATGTTTTTGCATTTTGTTCCACATTGTTCTCCTACTCTATCCAGGACTTCCTACAGATCCCTCTCCAAGTGGTTGGCAATGGTAGCTGGGCACCATCTAGCTCTTCTGGTCTCATAGTCATATAGGCTGAGGATTGCATAGTGTACCAGTTGTAAGGACTAACTGTTTCCATGAATCTTTGGTTTTCTTCATTCTTCTTTGCTCTGGACGAGGAGAGACCCATTGTTGCATCTAGATGGCTGCTTGCAAGAATTTAAGATCCCAGTTGCTATCCGCAAAAGCAGGAGGTGGAACAATGTTTTGTGTAGTATGTTATGCCAATTGACCTTGATGTCCCTTGGGACTATGGTCCTGAGCCCACAGGTTCAACTACTTTGTCCCTCTGGGTAGTCCAGCATTGCATTTGTTTGTTGCAACATCCCAACAGGTATTCCTTCAATTCCCGGAGCCTTGTTTTTTGCGAATTCCTTCAGTGAACTTTGGACTTCTACTTTCAACACCATTGGCTCTTGATCATATGCTACCTCCTAAAATGGTTGAACATGGACTAATTATTTTTGGTACAGTGAATGTGTGTATTCCTTCCATCTTTGGTTGATCCTTCCATCTTCAATTGATTCTTCCTGAATAGTTTAATATTTTACCCATAGAATCCTTCAATATTGCAACTCAAGGCTTGAATTTTTTCTTCAGTTCTCTTAGCTTGAGCATGTTTGTCCCTTTTGGTTTTCTAACTGTGGCTTTGAACATTTCATTATAATACTTTACTTTGTCTTCTTGAGCCACCCTTTCAAATCTTCTCTTTAGCTCTCTTATTTCATAATTTCTTCCATTCATTTTAGCTACTTTCCATTCAAAAGCAAGTTTCAGAGTCTCTTCTGACATCCATTTTGGTCTTTTCTTTCTTTCCTGTCTTTTTAATGGTCTTTTGCTTTCTTCATGTGTGATGTCCTTGATGTCATCCCACAATTTGTCTGGTCTTCAGTCACTGGTGTTCAATGAGTCAATCTATTCTTCAGATTATATATCTTTACACATAATTATCATAAAATTTCAGCTTTGTATTGGACATTGTACATCACCTAGTCTAACCCTCCTAATTTTACAGATGAAGAAACAAGCCTAAGAAAGTTTAAGTTACTTGCTCGAAGACCAACAATACCTGGGTTCTGACTTTGTCTAAAATTTGTTACTATTGCAACTGTGGTAGTGCTCCCATCTTAATTATTTCATTATTTTTCTTGAATGTTCTTCACCTTCAAGTACAGCAATTAAAAATTTATGGTGTTTCCTAAGTGCAGGTATCACATATTTCAGGGGATAATTTATTGTTTTCTATTTTGCATCCTGTATTTTTTGTGTACTTATTTTCTTAATTATGCCTGACAGCTTAGAAAATATGATTTCCCTCAAAATTTATTACCTTACACTTGTTGGCGATAAAATTCCTCTGTCAATTTTCTGCCCACTTATACAGTCTTACGCCGTTTTTCAGGTAGCTCATCCTTATGTCATGGCATCTCATTACCTAGAAGTATGTACTGCCATTTGTAAATCGGGAGAAATCACTGGGACTCCCTCAAGATGATGTAGAAATTTGTTAAATAAGACTATTCCCCAGCACCAATCCCTAGGGACCTTACTTCACCATTTAGAAAAATGTTCATTGTTCTTTAACCTTTATTTCTTACTTTTAAACTCTTATACTATAAGATTTAGCAAGCTTCATTATCACCTATTCACCTGGTTTCTTGTGAACTATCCTGGGCAAACTTAGCAGCAGCTGGTAATATACGGTCAGCCAGATCTTTTGTTCCAGATAAAATACGTTCTGGTTCCATAAATTCCACTATATCTGATAAGTGCTGGGCTGTACATTTTCTTACAGCTATGTGTAAATGGCTACAAGAAAACACAGACAATTAAAACAAAGTTGATATATGGACTATTCCAGAGATCCACCTTTAAAGTTAAATGATTAAACTGCTCCTATCCGTCAACAAACATCCTTGTAGCCTAAAGTAATAAATCATTCACATTAGCTATCTCTCACTAATAAAACTCAAAATTACAAATTTATTTCCAGATCTATGAACGTAAGTCATATTATGAGAATAACACTATGATTATTCTTTGTATGCTCAGTACTTGATTTGATGCTTATCATGGAAGAGTTATTTTATGACACAAAAATCTGCTTTTTTCCTATACTGAAGATTGCAACAATTCCCTTTTTAGTTTAAGGACATTTCAAGATTATTTTGAACATTACCTTTGCCCTCCATTGATAAGAGAAATGACGGCACGTGCAGGAGTTACATTATTAACCATCACCCTCAGTGCTTTGTCAACATCTTCTCTTATAAATGTATTTGATTCTCCAGCCTTGTGCAACAAAACTTTTACTGTAGTATCTAGCTCTTGATCCATGCTCTTTTTCAGGTAAGTGAAAAGATCACTTAAACAGACCACAGCAGCACGAGAAACTCCAGAGCGTAAATTTTTCACCTAAAAAAGAATTTCCAAAGAGTATATTTTGCTGATAGTCTGAAAGAAAATCAGTAATAAGGTCTCTGAAAATAATTTTACTATTAAAGTTATACATTTTAACACACATTGTATGTCTCGAAATCACCTAGTGCATTTTTTTTAATGTTGCAAGATAAAGAATAGGTTACTTTAGCTATATGTTCATCTTCTCATATTATTTAGTAGAGATTTTTTTTTTTTAAATTGTGATTTGGGTGAAAGTTTACAGAGGAAATTCACTTTCCATACAGCAGTTCACACACACATTGTCTCGTGACATTGACTACATTTTACCCCAATGGACCAGCTCCCCTCCCACTTCCTCCTGTTACCTCCTCCCTGTGTCCATCCCTCCATGCATTCCTGCCCCGAGCTGTCTCCCTGTACATAAACAGCCTTTCTTTTTCCCATGATTGTTTTCTCCAAGGAATGTATCTATCTCAGGTAAATGTTCAACTCATATGCCTGTCTTTTGTTTGGTTGGAAGCCACAGGTATGGGTTCAATTCCAGACCTGTGGGGCAGCTAGGTGCCATGGTTTCAGTGGTTCCACCAGGTTCTATCAGACCAGCAAATCTGGTCCCCTTTTTTTATCCTAATGATTTTGAGTTTTCTTCCACAGTATTTTCCCTCTCTATTCAGGATCTCCTACACAGATCCCCCTCCGAGTGGTTGACAGTGGTAGCCGGACACCATCTAGCTCTTCTGATCTCATACTTGTATAGGCTGAGGATTGCATAATGTACCAGGTGCAAGGACTAACTGTTTCCATGAATCTTTGGTTTTCTTCATTCTTTTTTGCCCTGGACAAGGAGAGACCCAACGTTGCATCTAGATGGCTGCTTGCAAGCTTTTAAGATCCCAATCGCTACTCGCCAAAGTAGGAGGTGGAACAATGTTTGTGTAGCATGTTATGCCAATTGACATTGATGTCCCCTGGGACTATGGTCCCCAGCACACAGGTTCAACTACTCACTCCCTCTGGGTAGCTGGCCGTGACCAAGAAGTGACTACCACCGTGTCCCTTGTCATCTCTACTATATCCTTGGGAATTCTTACAAAACATACAAATACACTTGTAGAACCACTGTCTGCCAGCCCTATACATGGTTGCAGTGTAATAAATTACTTAGTGTGGCTTTTCTACCCATAAGTCTTTGTAAACTCCAAGGTGGAATTTGCTATGTGCAACTGAGGAGCTCCTGATTGCTAAAGGTGTCCACCTGGAGTATTTCTGTTGGGAGTGGCACAAAACAATGTTCTGGGAGGTGCCCACTCTCTCTCAGGTGCCTAGAGTTCTGATGCTATAATTGGCTAGTTTGA